GACATCTACTCCCAACTTGAGGGGGAGTGTTGAGTGGGCCGACTTGTGTTTAGTTTATTTCCTTTTAAATTAAGATGTTGTTGGGCCTTGGGCCCATTAGTTTTTATTTTTTAAAGAGCTGTAATCACTTAAGTTGAGTTGCCGCCCTACTAAGGGCATCTTTGTAATATCTCATACTTAAGTTAATTATAAATAGAATGAGGAGCTGGCGGCTAGGGTTAAGTAAATCTATCCTAGTCGACCTTCTCCTTTTTTTTCTTCCCTTTCCTGTCTCTTGCTGAAATCCCCAACTTTCTACTCTTCCTTCACAAGAAGCTTGGCCGAAATCAGCACATAAGGTTTTCTACTAATATTAGTTTTGGTTTGTATAATAGATTATTTGATTGATCTACTAGAATCATTTCCATTTTTTTGAGTTCAATTTTATTTGCATTCATTCTATCATGCAGTTTTGAATCTTAAGTTTTACAGTACAACTTCACAACATATTATTGTCTATAACCTTAGTTTCTTAGCTCTGTTTAATGTTTTGAAACAAGATAATAATTTAAAAAGTTGTGCTTTTTTATCATTTCATAAAATATCATTCTATATTTTTACATATTTTATAATGTTTCTACCATGTCTATAGTTTTTACAATATTTCAATATGATATTTCTGACATTTCCATCAACACCTACATTTTAAACCTTGTAGACTGATGATAGTCAGCACATCTTATGGTGTCAAGTATCCTAGGTTTTTGAATGGCTGGAAAAATATTTTGGGATGGTTGCAACAGGTGTTGTATCGATACAGAATTGAACTTGATGAATTTGAACCATTTCATTAGGGCATGGAGGTAGGAAAAACTACTGGTACAAGCAGAGTTATATTGAAATTAGGATATAAAGATAATTAAATAGCTAGGAAGAATTCGACCAAAGGTCTTAAGTTAAATATTTAGTGGGGAAATTCATTATACGTTGAAACCTTAATTGCAACACCGCATGGCACTGCTTTTGTATAATTGCTTGTCATCTGTGTCATCTTATTGGAACTACATCAGAGTTGATCATGGAGAGAAGGTAGACGGCCTATATGAACTCTCCATTATTTCCTTTTTGCCCTTTTCCATTCCCTTTTGGATCTTATTATCTTAATTCATGCTTGAACATACTACAATGGTTTTCTTTTAATGAATAAACATACTACAATGTTTTATCAATTAAAAAAACATATTACAATGCTTCTCTTCTGCTTTTGTTTCTCCCAGGGCAAAAGACAAAATATAGAGGAACCTATGAAGGATGTTGTGTACAAATTAGCTAACCTTAGACACTCAAAGTAAATCCGTTACTTGTACTGGTCCAGGTAAGCTGTCCTGATTTTCTAACCTTGTCAGGCCCATCTTTTTGGCCTTTTGAATTTATATTTGATGACATTTCTTGAGGGATAAAGGATCTGTGTCACACATCTCTGTTGCTATAATACACAAGGTCTTTGTGAAAATGATCCTTTTGGCTTGATCAGATGAACCTACAATTTGCTCCTTCAATCAATGGCACTGCATCCATCAGAACATCCCTGGGACGGGCATGTAACCGGGCATCAATATACTTCCATGAAGGATAAGAAGTTGAACTTGTGAAAGTACATTTTTGGTTTACACATACACATGCAACAAAACACACATAAGTTTTCTAGGCAAGTTGTTTAGAGATCCCTAAAAGACCAAGGAAACTTTCATGTGTCGAATTAATTTGGGGCTGAAGGGGTTTCCCTGAATTCTTTTCCTCACCCAAATAAATTTTGGAAGCCACCTTGCATGTGCTAAAGAAAACCCTTCTTGTTGATGCATGGCTTTTTAGATTATCAAATTATAAATTCTGACAACTACTTTTAATTGGGTTGAACTCCGATAGAAAGATGGGGCAGGGCTAATGTGGACCGCAAGCATGCGCATATGGCTGATCCAGAGGCTTCCCATCTGGTGAATGGGATGAGCCTGGATCTCCTGCAAGCAAAAACTCTGTTCACATAGCATACCGACCACACATTAGGAATAGCTCCTGTACATGATGTTAAATTCATGGGGGAGATGTTCCCAATGTGCAGCTGGATTCCCATGCTTTCAGTGTGTGCAGAGATTTTGCTTTAAGGGAATCCTGTTGTGAATGGGATAGGGCTATTGTGGACCACAAGGGTTGGGCACCCTCAGACAGTGGGCATATCATCGCTATGTAAGCAGTTTTTGGTTCTGAAATTTGCTCCATGGCAAAAAGCTGGTCTATAGAAAGGAACAAATAGGTCATGTTTTTACCCAACCATTTAGTCACATGGAAGACTCCTTGTTTGTTTTTGAAAGCTCATAAAATGACCATATTATTAAACCTGCTTTCTTCTTAATGGCTGATTAATGCAATTGGTCACATGTCATCCAGAGGGGTTGATCTTTCAGCCTAGCCAGCCTATGATTTGATTTGTTCAGATTGGTGATCAAGCCACTTTTTGCAGTATATATCTTTACTAATTGTTATATAATGCCGCCTTGGCCTCAGAAGTCCAGACTCCAGACCACTTGATTTTTTTTTTTTTTTTTCTTTTCATTGCTGTAGGTCCACAACTTCATTTCTTCTTTTCATTTCTGTAGTAACAAGCATAATCTTGTTGCTCTAATTTATTCCTGTTTACCTCAATATCTAGTTGACATGCAGGATTGGGAGGTCTGATATCAATTTCTTCCTGACGGTTTCTGATATTATGTACATTCTATGGTTGTTACCGTAGTTGAATGGGCTGCTAGTTTTTTGTTAACTGATGTATATATAACACCTTTTAACTAAGAATATGATCTTTTTGGTAAAGTGTAAAACTCAGAATATGGTCTTCATCTACCAATCATGGGTCTCTGATTTTCGTTTGTTTGATGATCAAGGTTGAGTTCAGATAAGCTTTAGGGCTTGTGCTTTTAAAATTCAAAAGCACAAAGCCCTAATTTTAGGTTTTGTGCTTTGGGGCTTAAAAGTGTTTTGGGTTTTAAATTATTATGTTTCTTACTAATTATTTGTTACGAGCCTACTATGAACGTGGATAACATGCAAGCCTTGCATGGGCCCACGAACATTCTAACGACTCCAAGGGAAGGCCAGTCAAAGTTGTTAGGTTCATTGTTATCATTTTTACGTTAACTTTCAAATTGTAGATGCCTAGGGCGACTTTCTCGCCACTTTCTCTTGTTAGTAGGAGCTAGTTTCTATTTTGGAGCTGTTTTCGGTAGGGCTGTTCATAAGAAGGCCCAACCCGACCAATCTGGACCGACCCAACCTGAGTTAGTCGGGTTTTCATCAGCACCAGTTGGTTTCGGGTTGTACAAATTCATAAACCAATGGTTTGGGTCGGTTTTGGTTTTCTTTTGTGAAAACCGAAACCGATTCGAATCGAAATGACTTAGTTCCTACTTAACTAAGTTGTTCATAATCCTTTGTGTGGTGCATACAACTTGATATAATGTTTGAAATTCATGATTTTAGTTTTCTAGGTGAAACTAATCTCTAATCCCATATGCTTATCATTTATCAATTTGTCATTCTCGCATTGACAACCCAAATTTGCACCACACAAGCACATAGACCATGGGGGGCATGAATGAACTTAGAGCCGAAACCGACCCAAACCAACTCAAACCGATCAGGTTGGTTTCGGTTTCCATCTCAGGTAACTTGACCAGGTCGGGTCGGTTGGAAAAACCTTAGTAAATTGACCCAACCCGACCTATGAACAGCCCTAGTTTTCGGTTGTGGGGGTGTAACTCGTCAAATACTCTTATTTTCTTTGAATGAACATCATCATTATCTAACATTTAACTTATCTTAATTTGGGAGGCTTTTTCTGAGTTGCCTTGAACTAACCTAGAAATATTGGTTACCTTCTTGCCAAGATAGGGAAGACGAACTGAGAACATCCTCTTGTAGACTCTCCGGTAACCTATTTCGGATAGTTTGCTCTCCTGTAGAGACCAGTCACACATTCAGTTATGGTAGCTCGTAACAAGGAGGTATTAGAGCCAACGATGGATCCTAATCATGAGCGAGGCCTCTCACAGATTAAAGGTGAGATGGGATCCCCGATGGCTACCCAAGAGCGGATGATGGAGGAGGTACGGGGAATATTTGCTTCAATCGCCACAAGATTTGACAAGCTAGAGAAGTGGTTTGACCATCGATTTTTGGGCTAGTGGTTTGACCATTTGGGTCAAACGGTTCAAGTGGTTTGACCTTTAGAATATTAGGGTTTAGGGTTCTATACTTCTATTTCTCTTCTTTTATGAGAAAAGAGAGCTAGTTCTAGGATGGTTGTTGACTGAGCAGCCAAGAAAGAAAGGAAATAAAAGGAAAGGAAGGAGGGAAGGAAAGAAAAATAGAAAGAAAAGAAGGAAAAAAGGAGGAGGCATTTACTGATCACAACGATGGAGACAGCGACGATGACCTTTCTCTGATCTCAGATCTAAGATCTAGCTTGTTTCTCTCTTTCTCAGATCTTAGATCTGAGATCTTGCYCCCTCTCTCTCTCTTTTAGATCCCATTGATGAGTTCATGTCTTAGACTCTTAGTCCCTCCCCCATCTCTGAATCTCCTTTTTTTTTTTTTTTTTTCTATGTTAATAAACCGTAAACTGTTGCTTGGGTTGAACAGTGTAACGATTCGACTGTTTTCTGACCAAATCAACATTTTTTTTTTAAATGGTTCAATCTAAAAATAGATCCAGAAATATGACTGGTTCCTAAGTCAAACGGTTCAATCGTCCGGTCTTATCCGATTTTAAAACGGTTTGCCTGATTATGAACAACTAAGAAAGTACCATTGGGGTGACCTATTTCAAAATCAGGAGCTGGGCCTCAGGCCCGACATTTTTAGAGATGCCAACAAATTTCAAGTCGTTGCCCTTAGCCAATGAGGGCATTTTAGTCAATACATATTAAAATGATAGAACAGCATAAGCATCCGTTCACTTGCCCTTAATCCTAGGGGTGGACTGAACTATAAAAACCCCTTTTTTTCCCTCCCTCTTTTGGGTCAAACAAAGCATCCGTTCACTTGATCCGAACTCCTAAACCAGCAGCTCATAGTATTGGGCAAAATCAATTTTCCAATTTCTTCCAAAGTGGCCATTTGATATGTTTTATTTGAGGCTTTGAACAATTAGTCCACGTTGTCTTTTCCAACATATTCTTTCCTCTTCAAAATTCATAGGGTGCTCTGATTGGTCAAAGCTATCCTGGTATCATGTCTTTTTAATGTTATAGATTTTTCCTACATATATGTGTATAAATAATATTATATACAATAGATAATTATAATGTTTATTATTTTAGGCCTAACAGTTTTTTTATTTTATTTTTAAATTTATATAAATATAAAAAACTAAAATGGGGATTTAAGGCCAAAAAAAGGTTATTTTTTTGGCAACAATAACAAGGTCTGAAATTTACTCAAACTAAAAAAAGATTACCACAAATGAACAACCAAATGCAAAGTTATGGTTTTTGAAAGTTTTAATATACATATAATGTGTGACTCGATAACTGGGTTGAATGGGCCAATGGTTCAACCATTTGAGTCAAAATCAATGATTTTGATTATTTTCTTAGATTTTAAAAAAGCGAACCTAAAAAAAAGGATTGGTTAAGGGTTCAAACGATTCTACTGTTTGGATCAATTGCAGGTTAAAAACATTGGATATAAGCACATATATGCATTTACCCATTATAAAAATTTCAGTTATGAATAAGACTGAGATTTTGGATGTTTATAAAGATCTTCCGAAAGCTAGAGATGGAGGATGGCATAATTTAGTTATTCGTTATCCAAAAACTCTAAGGTCTCATTTGATTCACGGGAATAGGGGTCTAGATTCGGAATTCGAATGGGCCATTTCAATTCCAACTGTTTGGTTGGGCAGAATTGGAATCCCATTATCATTCCTAGTGGAATGACATTTCACCTTTTCAGGGAATAGCCATTCTTTTTTTCTTCTTGGAAATGAAATCCCATTCCAGTCGATTTCAATTTCCATTATGATTCATGTCTAAACCAAACAGATTATGGGAATAGACCATTCTGATTTTGAATTCAAAGGATTTTGATTCCCAATGGTGCACGATTTGGTTGCTCCTAACTGGAGGGCAGTTCAAATGTCGGTTGCTTACCTGGCCGGTCGAACTACAAGGAAGTAGAGCTCAGAGGACTTGGGGTGGCTAACTTGGTGTGGGCGCTCCGATGCTTAAGTTAGTATAATCTGTGTGCGAGCTGAAAGCTTGAGAACAAGAAGGTTAGAATGCAATAAATCGTGCGCACCTTGTGTCACTAGGGTAGAGGCTCTTATATAGGTGAGGTGTAGTGGGTCTCATGAAACACCTCTGAGATCCTCGGCCAACGCTGTTAGGAGTCTGTTCCGTACCAGAAGGTAGACTTCGTGATAGCCGATAAGGCTTATCGAGTCTATCTGATCCTGGCGGGATGAGGATAAGGCCTACAGTCGTGCGGTGTGATCCCAAAGAGCTTGGAGACAGTTGACTTGCTTCTAGAAGTCTGCTACGTGTCACCTCGGCAGGTTGGGCCATCCCGGGCTACTCGGACCTCGGTCCTGGCCGAGGTGCTCGAGGCGACTTGGCCTACTAAGGTGGCAGGAAATGTCGAGTCACTGTCCAATCAGCAAGTCACATCCACATGTCCGCTATTTAGTAGGTCGGGCCAAATCACCCTTCATCAATTGTCCCCCACTTCCTATGCCAGGGGTCCCGACCTGCTACGGGGAGTTCATGATGAGCTTAGGTGGGTTTGGCCTAGCCTTCTCCTGGGTTGAGGTCTGGTCCGGTGGTCAGACCACGATGACCTAGAGGTGTAAAGTGGGCCATGCCGGGCCGACACAACACGGCCCATGGGCGGCCCACCCTAAAGGCGGGGGTGGGCCGTGCCGTCCTCCCCGGTTGAAATTTTGGTGTCGGCCCCGCACGGCCCATGGCCCAGGCCCAAGTGGGCCCGTGCCATGCTGTGTTGGCATGCGGGCCTGGGCCAGGCCGGGTTGCAAGCCATGCCAGGCTACGCCACAGGGCGAGCCTTGGGCCTAGGCCGAATTGGGCTGCACTGCTTTATTTTTTATTTTTTATTTTTTTTTGAAAATTTTGATTTCTTTTCTAAGTAAAATTGTAAAACTAAAATATTTAACTTTCCTATGAACTTTGGGAATTAGGAACTATTTAAAAAATTAAGAAATGAGAAATCTATGTTATTTAATACATAAATGAAAAAAAAAAACTTAACCAAATTGAAATAAGAATGATGGAATAACAAATTGGAAAAAAATAGGAATTTTATTTCATTTAAATTTGAATGGTACAAATTAGTGAATTACAAATGCAATGATTGGGTCATTGCATACTTGGATGAATGAAATATAAAAATGGATTAAATTAATAAAATATATAAAATACAATATGGTTACAAATTGAAAATACAAAATTACATTGTTAAAAATTAAAAAAAATATATCAAATAAATTAAATAAAATTTAAAACTTTTACAATAATTTGAAAAAATGAAAATTTTTACAAGTAGTCAAATTCATGAATCATCATTCATGACTTTCATCATCTGCTTCGGGTGAAATGTTCGGTGTTGTATCATGCCCTCCC